TAGTTATGAAAAGTCCCCGATTTTCGCGTCTATTTATTGAGAAGGCCGCGAATCTGTGTTTCGTACGGATCCTTGTCCTTGTGGTTTTGCAGGGAGCGAATATCCAACAAGGGGAAGTTCACTCTCAGAGACCTGTACAAGCAGCTCAGCTCCGCCATGAAGCTGGGTCCCATGAACAAGGTTATGGGCATGATCCCGGGAATGGGAGAAATGGCACAGGTGAACAAAAGTGGGACGGTATGGTATATACCGTGATGTGTATGCATAGACTAAATCCACGTGGTACTGAAACTTCAACCTCGCGTGCCTTGTGCAGCAGAAGAGGGGAGCAGAGCACCTTTCGTCTTACCAGATAATGCATGCCCGTCGGGTTTGTGTGGAATTTGACTACGTCGCTAGATTCTTCGAAGAAAAATTGGCGAAGCATGGCGTTGATTACACCGCAAGTCTCTTGTATGCAAACAGCGTCTTGGTTCGCTCTCCACGAATCGAGCGAGAAGCACGTTTTGGCGCCTTCCGCGTGCATGCGTCTACGCTGCTTATTTTCTGTCTCTGTCCCTCCCTCCCTCTCCCCTTCCAGATGGCGAATAATTCTACGACTCAGAGTATGTTCAAGAAGAACCTGTATATAATGGATTCCATGACGAACGATGAGCTTGACGGAAAGGTGAGAACGTTTGCTTGCTAAGTTAGCACTTGCTTCACAATAGACATGGCTTTTCCTTGAAGCCGAAAACGTGTGGGAAATAATTTCTGGAGTCCTCCCCTCCCCCCAGAGCGTCCAACCGCATGGCGCTTGTACCACACCCTCTACAACGCACTCTACCGCCACGCCGTATACGTTGTAGTACACCCTACACGATTTGTGATGATGAATGTAGGGCGTGGCGTGCTTGTGTTACGGCCATGAATGTCGGTGGATGATGGGAACCGATGGCACTCTTTTTTTCAGTTTCAAGCCATCGATTACAAAAGGAGGCCGTGCCATTCATCGGTACACGAGGATGTGCAGGTCGACGTTTCTGAACGACGTTTCCGGGAATTTGTTTGTCGAACTGCAGTACGTTTTTGAATGGAAACAGTTTTTGAAGTCCAACCACGGACCCACTTTTTCGGACCCACAGAAGAATACGTAGTTGTTGTCTGCGGCAATGCCGAGTGGTCATGAAGTGTGCTTGCTCATGTTTCTGGAAACTACTGTTGTGCTGCTGTACGGTGGTACTGTAGAGTGTGCTCTACAACGTCGGGTGTTTTAGTTGTCGAAGCCACTGACCGAAAGGTCTATTACTAAATAGGAGACTGTCGGAGCCAAACCATATACCGGCATTTTTCTCGTCCTCTTGTTTGAAGCACCATGTGGTTAGTTTTTTTTCTTTCGTCGTACTTGCGTCGAGGGGGGCGGATTTATTTCTGGGAAGCGTGTTTTCCCCGTGACGCCTCTCCAGTTCTTGCCGCCCATATCAAACCAAACCAGCCACGAGAGTGGTTGTAGCTGCATTTATCTTCCCCGTCTATGACCAATAGGCGGAGGAGACGGGGGGGGGTCAGGGGGGCATGTCCTGCTCAGTTATTGCCTCCCCTCCCCCGCTGTTTGCCGTACAGTTTATGAGAGTGCCATGCAGTTGCCACGCTGTTGGGTCATTGAGGGTGCCATGCGGTTACCACGGCAATAGGGGCGTCGTGCAGATTTGAGAAAGCCGGAACCTGTCGCCCTCACACAAACGAGGCGCACATGTCTTATTCCCCGCTACACGCACGTCAAAAATACGTACTTGAGGCTATAGCTCATTTGCTCCTTGTCGCTACATGTATGCGATGGGCTGTTGTTGCGGTAGCCTTCTGTTGCCCTCACGAACAGACGGCATCGTCCCCTGTGTGTTTTTTTCTCGCCTAGCATCATCTCCTTTTTGGTGAAAGAACGGAACTAGACGGTGTAGAAAAACCGTGTCACGTCGCAGGGGACGATGGTGCGATAAACGCCACCCATCACTCGTCCCCTGTGTGTTTTTTTCTCGCCTAGCATCATCTCCTTTTTGGTGAAAGAACGTAACTAGACGGTGTAGAAAAACCGTGTCACGTCGCAGGGGACGATGGTGCGATAAACGCCACCCATCACTCGTCCCCTGTGTGTTTTTTTCTCGCCTAGCATCATCTCCTTTTTGGTGAAAGAACGTAACTAGACGGTGTAGAAAAACCGTGTCACGTCGCAGGGGACGATGGTGCGATAAACGCCACCCATCACTCGTCCCCTGTGTGTTTTTTTCTCGCCTAGCATCATCTCCTTTTTGGTGAAAGAACGTAACTAGACGGTGTAGAAAAACCGTGTCACGTCGCAGGGGACGATGGTGCGATAAACGCCACCCATCACTCGGTTTTGCCCACTGCGTGACTGATGTGTACAGAAAAGATCTTTGCCTCACGACAATGCTATTTGAAAACGCTGCCCTTACCCACAGCGGGGCTGACTTTTTAAAGGAACTCCACAATAATGCTATTGGAACACGTCATGTCTTGCCAAAGGTGGACCTGTCTCGTTGCGAGAGTCGACTCCTTCGGATAGCGAGAGGGAGCGGGACCCACCCCGACCAGGTCCGCGGGCTGCTGAAGCTGCACAAGCACTTCGAGAAGGTGTTCGGGAAGGTCGGAAAGAACATGAAGGGCGACGCCAGCAAGGCCAAGCAGCTGCAGGTGCGTAGAGCCGTGCGTGTGACCCCGCGTCCGTCCGTCCACGGCGTGTTGACGAGGGAGGTGCTATTTTGTGGGACAAGTGGGGAGGGGCGAGGGGGGAACATTTGGACGATGAATGGAGCCGTCCAACGACCGACTTGTTGTACGAAGTCGCAGTTGTACACAGCGTTGTGGTACGGAGAATTGTTTTTTTTCTAGTGCTAGCCTCTCTTCCTCCTCACCTCCGTTCAAAGAGTTGGTTTGTGTGGTTTGTGGACGGCATGCGAAAACAGGCTAGTCCGGTAGAGGGAGACCCAGCTCGTGGGGGTGATGGTGGTATTTATTGACCCGCTACAAGTTACAAGTACGGGGGGCAGGCATGATGGTGTCGGGGGAGGAGGAGAGAGCGAGAGAGCGAGAGAGCGAGAGACGGGGAGTCGAAAGGCTTGCCTCTCCTCACCTCAGTATGAACTGTACGGTGACAGGACATGACACGATATTTTCTTTTGTGTTTTTAGCGGGCAACTCGCGATTTTTCTCTCACAATCCTCCCCCCGTTTCCCAATATTTCGATTTGCATGCGACAAATAAAAAAAATGCCAACTCTGAAGCGAAATCCGGCGCTGGCGAAGCAGCACCTGAACCAAATGGACCCGAAGGTGGTGGAGAGTCTCGGCGGAAGAGCCAAGGTTCTGGAGATCATCAAGAACGGCGGGGCCGGGGGACCGGGGGGGGGGGCGGCGGGGG